CCCCCGCTTTCCACTAGCCCCCTCCCTTCCTGGTGCAGTGGGGACCTACTCCGCCAACTTCCCTCCAGCCCTCTGCAAAAGTAAACCCAGACCCACGGGAGATTCGCAGTCTGCGTTAAACTTCCCCGAAAGCCCCCCCTGTCCTCCCCGCTGCAGCGTCTTCCCCGGTGCGCCTCCCCCTCCCGAGAGCAGCTCTCAGCTTGGCTGGTCTCGGGCTTTGATGCTAAGCCAAGGTGAATCAGGAAGGCAGTAAACAGATGGGGCAGAGCTCCCGATCGGAGCGACTTTTCTTCCTGAAAGCCGCTTCCCTCTCCCTCTCCCTCTCCCCACCCCCAGCCCGTGTACACAAGAGCCTGCGGGGCTTTTGTTTTCTTTCGGACCCCGGGCGTTACTTGCAGCAGCAGAGCAAGTCTGACATGTTGCAGAGTGGGAGCCCTAGCAATCCAGGCAGAAATGCCACGCAGAGGCACAGCAGCACTGCAGTTTGGAACTCAGCTGCTGCCGCCGCTGCCAAGGGAGAGGATGGGGATCTTGCAGGGACCCAGCCGGTCCCAGACCACACAAAAAGTCAGAGTTACTGTACCTGCTGCCCTCACCAGGCGTCCCTCCGCCCACACCGAGCTGGGAAAGTTTGCACGGCAGGCTGCTCCATGGAGTCAGAAGCCATGATTATGGAAATGGTTGGAAACCGGGAGGGGGCTGGGTCTGAGATCCTGTTGCTGGGCAGCCAGTAGTTCTCAGCCGGACCGAGCGAGGGCGCCCCGAGGCCTTCTGCAGCCGCCTTTCGCGCAAAGCTGCTTGCTGTCAGGCCAGTTCTGCCTCCAGCGTTTGAACTTTTAGGAGGAACAGGAGTACAGACAAGACATTAAGCTGCGCCGGGGGTAAAAGCAAAGAGGGATATTCAGCGCTGTAGCAGACCTTTGGGCTAAATTCGCATTAGTGGAAGCTAAGGTATCGTGCATACTCCCCAAGTGTGTAAGAGTGGGGTTGCAGTAGGAAAGGCAACTGGTGGACAGTTTGCTTTAGGTTAAATTCTCAACCTGTTGGTTGTTTCCTCAGCTACAGGCCTTCTGCTCCTAGGCTGACACTCCGGCTCCTGAGAGTGTCTGTTTGAGTTTTATCCTTTTTTTCGGTGGGTTTTGCCCTGGTGTCGGATTGTAGAGAAACAAGCGATTTCTGGAAGTGTTATGTTATTAACATCCAGAAGCACAGGGTATTGCAGCAATTGTTCACAGGCCACACATACCTTTATACACTCTGTTTTGTATGATCAAACGAGTCTTGCATTTTTTCATCCTAATAATTTTGAAAGCTGAGGTGTCCTATAAAGGTAGGCTAGGAAGGAAGGGTGTGGGGGGAACTTTCTCAAGTGTATGAAGTTCTTTCTGAGTGCACACTGATTAGCAGCATAAATAAACAAAACTGTTAGCTTTTGCCCTGATCCTTCAAGCTGCTGCACTGAGAATGGCCCTGCAAATGCATGGAATTCCCCCTGAAGTCCACAGGGTTCTGTATAGGGTACATCTACACCGCATGCTTATTTTGGAATAAGCTATTTCAGAAGAAAAACTCTGAAATAGCTTATTTCGAAATAGTGTGTCTACACAGCAAATGCCTGTTGAAATAATGCTGAGCTATTTCCAAGCAGAGCTTTCGTACCCATTGGAGCCTCAATTGCATTTAAAGTCCCCTGGAATCACTGTGGGCAGGGCATCAGGACACTTCCTGTGGCTGCTTCTTGAGGTTAGCTGAGGCTTGTGCTTAAAGGGACTCCCTCTCTCTCTCCTCACCCCCCCCCCCGCCCCCCCCATAGCTGTGTCCCAGGCTCCTCTCTTTTGCCTACCTCCTTGAGGGACAGCAAACCCGTTCCACTGCCTACTCTGGTTGCTCTTGTGGACACTACAGCACTTCTGCCATGGAGCTGAACCTGCTGGAAAGCAGTCACCAGCTCTTGGATTTCACAGTGTGTCTCCTGGGGTACGTCTAGACAACATGCCTCTGGCGACAGAGGCATGTAGATTAGACTACCCGGTATAGAAAAATGAAGCGGCGATTTAAATAATTGCTGCTTCATTTAAATTTACATGGCTGCTGCGCTGAGCTGATCAGCTGTTTGTCGGCACAGCGCTGAAGTCTGGACGCTCCGCGGTCGACATCAAAGGCATTTGTCGACCTCCCAGGTATGCCTCCTGGCACCCGACTACATTAACCACAAGGGATACATTTCTATGGTCCTGCAGGCTGTCGTGGACCACCAGGTTTGCTTCACGGACATTAATGTTGGATGGTTGGGGAAAGCACGATGCCCATGTCTTTAGGAAATCCAGCCTGTTCCAAAAGATGCACGCCATTACTTTTTCCCCTGACTGCACCATCAGGATGGGGGATGTGGACATGTCTATGTGCATAGTCGGGGACACTGCCTACCCTCTGCTCCCATGGCTTATGAAGCCCTGCACTGGACACCTGGAGCCTGCCAAGGAACAGTGTAACACTAGGCTCAGCTGAGTTCACATGGTGGTGGAGGGCGCCTTCGTGCATCTCAAAGGTGGGGGGCTCCATTGCCTCCTCACCTGGCTGGACCTTGGCGAGTGGAACATCCCCCAAGTGGTGTCGGTGTGCTGTGTCCTGCGCAATATGTGAAAATTAAGAGGCTGAGAAAATAAGGAAAAGCCCTAGACTTAGTTTAATTTTGATACTCCCAAGTATTGCATTGCAGCCATTTATGGTCAGCCAGTTGGTGGAGAGCTTTTCTGTTCAATTTTTATTTTTGCTTACGTAATTTGCATTTGCTACTTTTCAAGATCCCAATTGTTTTCCTAGTTTTAAAGATTTAAATTAATAATATCTAGCGTAAACTAGTTTATCAAATAATCTGTGGGCATCAATGCCAACATAATTTCCTTAAAAGCTACAATACAGAAATTATAGAGAAAAAGTGCTTTGAAGAATTTAAAATAAAAAAAAATCCTCCCCTTATTTGAAGCTTTGATTCTTTGAGGTGATGAGTGGCCCAGCTCCCATTGAAGTTGACCCCTTTTGTATAAACCTTGCCAAGTAAATCTGGGAAGATTTTGAAGTTGCCAGCTCATTATCATAATATGTTTGTTGTTTAGGAATATTGTAAAAGGGAAACTGGAAATTTAAAAAGCTAGAGAAATTTGTTTTTACTTTAAAGAGTTATTTTGTATTGTTTGACTTACAATTCTTTAGTTTTTTGTTAACTATAGATTTTTTTTTTTTAAAGAAATGACAATAGTTTTGAAACACCTTTATCATGGTGGTTGTTTTATTTTATTTGAAGGATTTGAAAGTTGATTTCCCTAGCGTGTTCTTTCAGATTTTGGTGATAGGTACCTTAAAATACATACAATTAGAAGTCCAGGATATTACATGTGATATGGATGATGACTGGAGAACAGTGGGAATGACTTGGTTTCCTTACTAATTGCCTTTAAGGAGTTAATATTTCTATTTTGTTTTATTTTTTATAATCATGTTTACTAGGTAATTGCATTTTGTAAACTTTTTCTTTGGGGAAAAATATTTGTCTGGATGTTTTTGCGTTAAAGTAAAACATGCAGTGTTTTAAATCGAGAGTCTGAAAGTCTGTCAGTATGTAGTGCAATCCTGGTAAATGGAAATTGCAATAGGGTATCTATTATTTGACCTTAATGGTAAAATTGAAACTGGTTTGATTAATGCAAATCTGTAAGACAATTGGTATTTCTGCTGAAAAAAAATTCATCTTCATCAGTTCAAGTGCCCAAATGGGGAATCATCTAAGGAAATTGAATTGAGTGTAACAGTTAACAATTTACCATATCCCATAGATTTTGGGTCAAGTGATAAGAGGCTGGCAGGAAATGAGGAATTGATACCCCCCAGAAAAAGAGAGTAAACATACATAGAGCATAGCTTTTAAAAGATTGTTTGATAAACTAAAAATTGGTTTAGGTTAGGTAAAGCAACTACCCAGACAGACAGCGGTTTGCTGTTTTATTAGACTGCTGCTGATAATACTAAAATTTGAAATTATACATTGAAGAGCAGATACTCATTAGGTGTAAATAATCTTAGCTTCATTGAAGTCAATGACATTTTACATGGGCTCTAATGTGCGTGATGAACAACTTTTTGCATTGCTGGAGCATGAATCTGTGACTAGAATTTTGATTAAGGAAAAGTAGCTGGTTACATTTGGAGATACATGTAGACTTTTGGTAGTAATGTTTTGTTTTTAAACAGACTCATTGTGTTTGAAAGGGTAATTTTCAATTAGGTACAAAGATACATAAGCTAATATACATGTTATTATACCAGTGAACGTTAAAATGTTTGGATCTAAATGATCCCTCAGTCCTGCAAAGGCATTTGCAAATGCTTGAGTTAACATGTACGGAGTCACCCATTGATGTCCAGCATATGCATAAAGTTAGGCGCATGACAGAATTATAGCCTAAAAGTAGATGTGTGCATTAGCTGTCAATTGGCACAGAAATTACAATGTTGTTTCTAACGAATAACCAGGTCAAAGGATCCAGTATATACAAAAAGTATTGTACGAATTTTGTTACTAAGATGCATAGCAAATCAACTATGGAATGTCTGAGGCACTTGTTGAGAGTGCAGATTTCAAAAGCTAAAGGTCAAGATTAGAAATAATTATATTTTATTGTGTTGCAGATCCATGTTTATATATTCCTCGTTTTGCACACATGCTAGAATTTGGAGATAAGAACCAGAAAGTATCAATGACAGCTCTGCGATTATTACAGAGAATGAAAAGAGACTGGATGCACACAGGACGTCGACCGTCAGGGCTCTGTGGAGCAGGTATCTGAAATCTTGTGTAAATTGTTCAGCACATAAACCGACAGTTGTATTTACTTTATGAAAAGGCTCTGGTTTGGGGTTTAGCTAACAGATAAATATTTCAGATAGATATTTCATCAAGCCAGGTCTACGCTACACCAGAAATTTGACTTAAGATACACAATTCTCATAGCTGGAGTTGCATAACTGGAGTTGGTGTGCCTTAAATCAAGTTTCTAGGACAAGCCCCCCTTGCCTTATCTGAGACTTTATTAGATATCCTTTACTGTTGTCGCCTAATCGTGCAGAGTCATGTTCAAATTCTGAAGCTTCTTAATCCAAAACATTTCCAGATCCAACATTTTATTTTTGTCCATGGTGCTAAGACATTTTGTTCTAGGTCCTCTTGTTCCTACGGCTTGTTTACTCTCCCCTCTTCTCTGGTATCCATATCACTCATTCTATATCTGCAAAATACAGTTGCCATGGTCATCTTCCTTGCCTGTTTCTCTTCCCATACATTTGAAATCTCTCTACTTGCCCTGCAAATTCAAACTTTTTGTCCTCATCATTGAAACCATTCACTAACCTGCCCCTCACTTCTAAATCATATCTATTCCACGTTGCATAGTTTCTTGTCCCCTCCAGCTTCGCAGCGATACTAACTTTTGACCTCCCATTTCTCCTCTTTTCTCGCAATGTCTGCAAGTGTTCTTTAATGCTGTCCCTTAGGCATGAAGTGCCTTCAAACTAATCCATAAGAATGCTACCTTTTCCTTCTTCAAAATGCTCTGCAAGAGACCCCCATATGCTCTGAGGTTGTGTCAAGACCACATCCCTCTTTCAAAAGAGGGATTTAAATGAAGCACTTTGAAAGTGCAAATTAAGTGGGGGTTTAAATATGCCGTGCTTCATTTGCATAATCGTGTCCCAGCGGTCTTTCAAAAAAGGGTATTTCGAAAGTGAAGCCATAGTCTAGACATGTTTCTTTCAGAAAAAGCCCCCCTTTTTCGAAAGAACCGCATCTAGACTATGGTTTCACTTTCGAAATACTCTTTTTCAAAAGACCACTGGGACACGATTATGCAAATGAAGCATGGGATGTTTAAATCCCCGCTTCATTTGCACTTTCAAAGCGCTTCATTTACATCATACTTTCGAAAGAGGGATGTAGTCTAGACGAGCCCTGATAGTTACAAAAAAAGCCCCAGAAACTTAGATTAGGTTGAGTCAGGGATAGCTGAGATGGTGAGGGTATCAAGAAGCTTGTTTGATTGCCTAGGTTTTCTAAACACTTTGCATTATTTGCTAGTTTTAAATATGTACATAAAAGTAAAGTAGCAATGTTAGCAGTAATTCAGAGCACATTGATAACCCATGTTGACCACACAGTCTTCTTGGTAATCTCACCCTCTCTCTTATTGTTCGTGACACCGTTTTATATCATTTCAAATCTTAGTGTAACCTTTTTCAGACCTGGGCCAGTTTTCTTATGCGTTGTTACATCACTTAATACCATGGAGTCCTGATTCCAATTGAAAACTTGTGGGTACTACTGAAATACAAATAACAATAAAATAATCTTTAACTAGTAATGACTATTGCTTAGATGGAATCTATATCTTATTTTTGGTTTCTGGAAATGTTTGAGGAGAGCAATTTATTGAAGAAGATCAAATTGCTACTAAAAAAATTTTTTTTATGTGGAATAGTTCAGTATTCTTATGTTGTATTTGAATAGCTCACTTTGGCTGCCAAACCTAACTAAAACATAACATTTTACAGATCATAGTTTGCTAGCTTAATTTTATTGGATGGGAAGCAAAGTTTGTACAATTCAACTTAATCACCTGAATTCCAGTATATTGCTAAACATTAGCATTTATTATTCTTTAACTGAAGTTGAGAACAGAGATAAATGAATTTTTTTTCTTTCACTTGCTTTGCTAAAATATCTTTGTCAATGACTTTCTTTGCTCATTCTTTAGCTCTTCTAGTAGCAGCAAGAATGCATGATTTCCGACGCACTGTTAAGGAGGTTATCAGAGTGGTCAAGGTTTGTGAGTCCACATTAAGGAAAAGGTCAGTGGAGTTTTACTGTTTTAATCTTTTACTTAAGATATTGAAGAGTAGCAAGTTCTTGTGTGTGCACGTGCATGCAGATGATGAAACCATATACAGGCAGTCCCCGGGTTACGTACAAGATAGGGACTGTAGGTTTGTTCTTAAGTTGAATTTGTATGTAAGTCGGAACTGGTACATATTGTAGGGGAAACTCTAGCCAAACATTTCTCCAGAGCTCAGTTTTATTCTCCCACACCTCACTACCCTCAGTCCTTTATTCTCAAGCTGAGGTGTCTGCTGAGAAAAGCCGCTCCACCTCTCCCTGGTCTGCTGGGGTGGGGGGGCGCTAGCTTCGCATCTCCCTGGTCTGCTGGGGGGGATGCGTCTCCCTGGTCTGCTGGGGGGAAGCAGCTAGTGCGGGGTTGCCTCACCCCGTTTGTAAGTAGGGATCCGATGTAAGTCGGATCCATGTAACCCGGGGACTGCCTGTAACAGGCATTTGCCAACCCCAGATATATGCTGTCAGTTTCTAAAATTATTGTTAGTCTACAGGACATTCGTTTAAAATTTGTTTTAAATATTTTTCATTAGTTTGTTGCTGAAGACTATAAAATTACATATATAAAAATAATTCCCCTCTCTCCCAGACTGCCACTGGGCGTAGGGGCATCAATTTAATACTGCTGCATAGGCCACATAAGTCCTAAGGATGCCTCTGGATGGCTGATTCGCAATACACCATGTTCTATCATGATAAAGTGCCACCATACCCACACTCTTGCTTTCTACCTAAAATTTCTTCAGAATTCTACCCTAATGAAGAGATTTATCTACCAATATTGATATCTCAAACCTCATTCTTGGAAGGGAAAAACAAGATTGCATATACTGGCTATGAAAAGAGCTCTCACTTATGAGCTTGACTGGATTAAGCCCATTGGGACATCCCTAAATCTCGTCTAGATTGCAGAAAGAATGAAAGGATTAGTTTCAGGAAGCATCTCATCTTCCCACAAAGTCTCAGGGGCCCATCTTCTTCTGAGGGTAATTGTTCACTTCACTAGACCCCACTTCCAAAGCTGATGTGGCTTTTGGTGATGCTATTCTATGATCCATACTGAATCTGTTTCCACATCCACAATGGAGGCACTCCTTGGGAATTTCTTGATGTGGAGCACGCACAGAAACACTAGTGGAAAGAAAGATTACTTAGCTTGTGCAGTAATTGGAGTTCTTTGAGATGTGTATCCCTATGGGTGCGCCACTACCTGCCCTCCTCCCATTGGATTTTCATGGTTGACGAGGACCTGAAGTGGTAGTGGGTCTTCCTCTTCCCACTCCCATATTACCCTCATGTCAGAAAATACAAATGAAGAGCTGTTGAAAATCTCCAAGCCAGAGCATAGGGATGAGTGTGTATCCTGATGTGGAGAACCTATAGGGTACTTGAAGACCCTAACTTACTGTACAAGGTAAATAACCTCTCCTTTTTTTCCAATGTCGGTAAACCTCTCCTTTTTTTCCAATGTCGGTAAATTTATCTATCTCCAATATTATATTCCTTTTTAAAAATTTGTCTTTGGAGGAATTCTTTTACCCAGTGATCAGTAATAGAGCATGTAGATGCAATTAATAAATCAGATATTATTTACTAGTTTTAAATGTTGTTCATTTTTCAGTTTTGAAAAATAGTTGATAGAATTCCTTGTCTTCAAAACGGGAATGATGGTATTGGGCTGTTAAGAGGATAAATTCATTGTTTGTATGCTTTGATAATGGGGATATATCAGTACTAATGTCACTCTGTTGTCTGGTCAGTGGCCATGTTCTTTAATACAGATTTTATAATTCATGATTTCTATATGTCATAATGCACTTCTAGGATGATATATTTAAATAGTTGAAGCGTTAATTTTTATTAAGAGCAATAATAATAATAATAGTAAATAGCACTTGGAAGTAAATTGAATTTTGACCAGTTGTTTAAGTGAAGAAACCTTGTGTAAAATTCATGCTTTGAAATGTTTACTCAAGTCATACACATCAGCTAAAATGACAGCGTTATTTACTTTGACAAGGTAAATGTGACAGCTGAATATTTTCAGGGAGCTATAATTACAACTGTATTTATCACGAATCTATAAAACTTGATTGATGTTTTTCAAATAAGAGCACATTATATGGTATTTAGCTAAGGCAAATAAAAAATTCCTTTGAATAAGTGTATCTGTAGCCAAAGGTTTTTTGTTCCTTTCAAGAATTAGAATCTTGAAATATCATTAAATAGAAGTTGTCTGAATTAATAAGTACTTGCTTCACATGCTTAAAAATCCTTCTACTCAATATGAAGTACAGTTTTATTTATTTTTAATTATTACTGTTTCAGTGCTGTATGTCTTAAGTGTTACCGCTTTGTGTAGATGGGAATGGGACTAGTTGTAGATACTATTAAACAATGTTAAAATATCCACACTGCTGAGCACTTTCTCATGAAAATTCTTAAACCAAATTACATGTTGCAGTCGAAGTTCTTAAAAATAATATTGATATTTCTGATCCTCCTGATTGTGCCTTACTATTTGATTTTATTTTTCCAATTTGTTAAACCACTGCCAAAGGCTGGATTGGCTCCTGGATTATGCCAGTGTCTGTGGCAGAAAATGGGCCTTGAAGGGGTTGAATCAGTCTAATGTGCTCTCAACTCCTTCACTGTGGTTGGTGTTATAAGGACACAAAAGGGGTAGGGCAGTTTCAGGAGATGGTGTGGTAAAGGCACCTAGGGGAGATGCCCATTCAGTGTAACCCATGGCAGCTTTCTACGTATGGTGCCACTGCTGTGTCTTCCTTCCCTGGGAGATTAATTCTAATCCTCTGCCAGTACAGATTGGGTCAGTTTACCAACTTCTCTAGGGACAGGGACGAACCAAGCCCTATCTATTAGCCTTTGGGCCTATAGTCAGACAGTACTAATAATCAGAACAGTAGTTATCAGCAAGTTCACAGATAGATATGTGACATTAATGGGTGTTAAGTAATTCAGCTTCTCATTTTGCAGAATTGTTCACCTGATCATAAAAAAGCAAACATAATGATGCCACAACAGATCCTATCGCTTACATTTAAAACAATTACTTTCACCTTGTGTGTTTGATTCAAAACCAAATTTTTCTTTTTCTTTTGGTAGGGCTTCAATAAATAACCTTAACAATCACTTTCACAAGGTCTTGTTGCTTTGTAATTTGAGGCATAGAGTTCAGATGAATAACTCCATTCTAAGTGTTGAAACACAATGTATTTAAATATTAAATGCAGTAAAACAACTGTTTCATCACCAATCTAATTGGAATAATACTGTTTTTATATATTATTTCATAGGTTCAAAGCACTGTACCAATACTAACTAAATAGTCAAGTTTTTATTTTCTCTGTCAGTTTTGATAATATATATTAATTGGCTTTTAAATTTCTCAATATTTTTGTGTTTATCCCTTACATTTTATTTTCATAATGCACCTGTCTTTTGTCACCTTTTTTCCTCCAGTCAATATTCTCCCCCTTGTTTATCCATTTATTCACCTGTTGTATATTATTAACTGATAATTTGAATCTCTTTGGAGTAGGGACTGTTGTAGTAGTGTGTGCTTGTCCAGTGTTTAGTACAGTAGGGCCATGCGTGACCTGTATATCACAGTCAACTCAGCCCATCCCTACAAACCCCAACATTTTACAGCTCTCTGGAGATAAAGGGTATGACATACAACAGTTGGGAGAGCAATTCCTAGCATGGGGAGACACATAGATGCTAACTGTGCTCTAGCGAGTGCTCTTAAATAGCAGTATGGCTGCAATGGCACAGCACAGGTTAAGCACCCAGTGAATCAGGCAGGTTTGTGCTTGGGTAGCCAGCTCCATCTGTTGGCTCCTCAGCGCTACTGGACCAACCCAGCAGCACCCCAGCTGCTCTGCCTCAGGCGTCCTGATTCAGCCGCTGCTGAAACTGATCAGCAGCGGCTGAATCAGGACTCCTGGGGCAGAGCAACTGGGGGGGGGCCCGGGGTGGGCCGG